GCTGTTTTTTGTTCGTTTCCTGTGTCTTTAAGGACTATCAGAGCCTGGCAGTACCTCAACTGTCCACACCAATGTACCCTCTAATTTTCAGCCCCACTGGGCTGGGCTCTGGCGCTCTCTTGCGTGATATCACCCCTGCATGTGAGCATGACTCTGCCCCCCCCCTCAAATTCCATCATGACTGGAACCAAACGGGTTGAATGTGATCAATGATTGTTGTGTGGAGGAGGAAGACAGCTGTGCGGAGGGAGTCATGCACGCCTGGCTTAGAGGGAACCTTGGTCCCAAAAGGCATTTGTCCCACTGTTGGATGTGCTGAAAGTCAGGCAGGTCTACTCTCTTTTCCAGCGTCTACACGTGCCATACAGACAAGAGGAGCATGCCAAATAACACATCGCTTTCTCCACCCCACAACCTCAGCTGACCCTTTGTAACCAAATCTAGCCTGCACCAAAAACAGCCAGTCTGGACAGACCTTAGGAAGAAGCCATGTTATAGAGAAGGACAGACAATGACTGGGAAAATGAAGGCAGCACTGCTACCCTTCATCTCCCATTCGATGAGTGCTGGCAAGCAAGAGAAGCAAGGGCTGGCACCATGGCAGCAGAAGAGGTTGTACTGGCACTGTGCAGAAGCTCTACGTTGTAGGTCAAATTCTGTCTGGATTTTGCTGAAAAACTGGACTTGAGGCATTAAAGTATCCTATCTCAGTGGACGAGGGCTGAAGGAGTCTTCTATACAGGCTTGGACAAAGAAACAATATTTTGCTACTCTATCTAATGTTGCTGGCTGGACAAAGAAACAATATTTTGCTACTCTATTTTGCTACTCTAATGTTGCTGGCTGAAACCCAGTGTGGTGTACTGGATAGAGTGACAGACTAGGACTCAGGAGGCCTGAGTTCAAATCATTGCTCAGCCATGGAACTCCCAACACTGGAGGTATTCAAGAAAAACTCAGATAAGCACCTGGCAGATATGCTTTGATTGTTCGATTATTCCCGCACTGAGCAGGGGTTGGACTTGATGGCCTTATAGGGCCCCTGCCAACTTCACTTTTCTATGATTCTATGGAAACTCAGGGGAGTGGAATTGGTAAAACCACTCCTTAAATATCTCACTCACCTTGAAAACTCTACTACTGTCACTAGAAGCATAGAACAACAGAACAAACAATGTTGCTGGGGTGGAACAGCTGCTGCTCCTTTTTAAGGAGAGGGGAGGAAGGGTAACTAGAGCAACTTAATTAAGCGGTGACTTCTAAAGAACTTGAGCTATGGAGGAGGAAAAAAAATCAGATCCTTAGTTCCCACTAGCCTCATTTCCTGAAATGAAAAGAAATAATAAACTTGCTATGGTATTAGGGGTTTTCTTTCTCCTAGCTCATCCTCAGTTCAAATTTACTGTAATCAGTTATTACAACATATTATCTCACATTTCATTTCCTTGTTCCTTTCTACACCTTCCTTTTTATATCCAACAAGCTGCCAACAGATTAGTCCTTGTCCCCCCTCCCCAGCTTTTTTTTAAGATCACTGAGTAAATAGCCTTCCTCCTCTCCCTGATTTTAAAAGGATATCATAAACTGATACAGATGGATAATTTGGTTGCACAAACTGCAACATCATCAGGAAATGATGACATATGCCCCATAACTGCAAGCAAGAGTGCTGATGGAGGGAGACTGTGCACCGGGTATGATAGTTTCCTTGCCATTCTGCATGGATTTATTTTTTTTAAAAAAAGCCAAAAGCGGAAGAAAGGTGGTGCCATGCAAGAGAGAGGTGCCGCTTCCTGCAGTAGAATGGTGAAGCGGTTTCCTTACTTCCAACTTCCAGTTTTTTATTTGGAGGAATCTTCATTCATCTGGAAAAGGAAGTGAAGTTTATATGGCTCTGCAGCCCCCACCAGAGCGATATTTAATGCTGGGTATTAACTTGGGTTGTTGTTGTTTGTTATGTGTTGTCTGGTTGTTTCTCACTTCTGGTTACCCAAATAGGATTTTTCAAAGATGTGAGATGTTCAAGCAGTGGATTTATCTGCCCCACCCTGGGTTTCCATGATCACATGAGAATTTGAACCCAGAAGTCCTGAGTCCAACACTTTACCCATGATACTCCAGCGCCTCTCAGTTTGGAGTGCCGACCCATCCACAAAACCTACTGTACTGCAAACTGGGAATGAGGGTGTAACATTATAAATCCTGTGTGTGGCTAAGGCAGCAGTAACCTGTGGGTCAGGAAGATCTTCCATAATCTCTTCCTATTATCTCACACTGAAAATCTGGTTGTGGTGATCAAGATGCTAGGCTTAGAATATTGTCTCAATGGGTAACTGTCCCCCCCCCAACCTGTTTCAAAAGCTTGGTGGTTATGATATTGTGGGGGGTGGGTGGGTGGATGGGCAATGTTTACCAGATCCAAGACTCTTTCTCTACTCTTAATTCCTCACAGTGCCTGCCAACCCATATTTACAGTGGGTGAAAAACAAAAATAAGCAAACTGAGTGATTTGCCAATTCAGGGGTAGAAATCAATATATTGATTTCACTCATACTGTTTAACACAAAGAAAAAAAGAAAGAAAGAGAGAGAGAGAGAGAGAGAGAGAGAGAGAGAGAGAAAGAAAGAAAGAAAGAAAGAAAGAAAGAAAGAAAGAAAGAAAGAAAGAAAGAAAGAAAGAAAGAAAGAAAAATCCTTATTTTTCAGAACTAGAAGCAGACTTTAAACCATATCTAAAGCAAAAGTTTGCTGCTTATCTACCGCCCCATACTGCTTAAAGCACTCTCTGGATGGTATACAATTTAATTATACAGGCTACACATTGCCTGACCCCCAGCAAGCTGGATACATATTTTACCTACGTCTGAAGGATGGAAAGCTGAGTCAACCTTGAGCCGTTTGCCAGAATCCACTGAGATCGAATGCTGACCATGAGCACAGTTTTGACTGCAATACTACAGCTTAACCACTGTGCCATGAGGCTCCTCTAGTTTCATTTTTTGCAGGCTAGAGCATTTTTGGTGGTCTGTGTAGCCCTGGATGGTCTTGGTGCAAAATAAATAAATAAATAAATAAATAAAAAAGATTTTTAAAAATAATAATAAAAGAGGGGGGTACCACTCAATAGAGTTGGCTTCCTAGGGCAGAAGTAAGTTTCGTTTCATTCTTGTAATTATAAAGTCCTTATTTTAATGAGTTTAACATAAAAAACTTAACAGGCTCAGAGGTTTTTTTTCTTTATTGGACTTGACCATCCCTTATTTTACTCAAACATACCAAGCACTATAAAGCATGTGGGGAGAAAGGATAGTTCAGTGCTTCACAGATGAAGTACAGATGGCTGCTTTAGGGGGACAGGAGAGAAGAATGCCTTGATTTACTGTGGTCTAGGGCAGCCTGAGTTCAAATGGTCAGAGCCCTGTTCTTCTGAACAGGAAGGACTAGGACAACATCCATCCCCATTACCCTACCTCAGGCATCCCGGTTTGAGTTTCGTGGCAATCCTCACAGTAGCATCCCTATTGAAAGGCAAAGTATCTGAGGGAAATTTGGTCTTGAACAGATAATGAAGAGCCATTAACCTTAGAAAAGCTGTGCTTCCCATTTGTTGTTACAGCCCAATTCAGTTGCCTATTTTTTGTTTTTACTCTTCTTGAGTTGCTGATGCTAGCTGTGATGAACCCCTTCATTTCCAAATTTACCACTATGCCCTTAAGTTAATCTGATTTGGCCTGGTAAGTGTTGTTGCACTTGCCATGCTTGTGGAAAGGTCTTTTGGCCCCAGCCTCTTCTACTTTGTTGTTGTTTAGTCGTTAAGTCATGCCCGACTCTTCGTGACCCCATGGACCAGAGCACGCCAGGCTCTCCTGTCCTCCAATGCCTCCCGGAGTTGGGTCAAATTCATGTTGGTTGCTTCGCAGACACTGTCCAACCATCTCATCCTCTGTCGTCCCCTTCTCCTCTTGCCTTCACATTTTCCCAACATCAGGGGCTTTTCGAGGGAGTCTTTTCTTCTCATGAGATGGCCAAAGTATTGGAGCCTCAGCTTCAGGATCTGGCCTTCCAATGACCACTCAGGGTTGATTTCCTTCAGAACTGATGGGTCTGTTCTCCTTGCAGTCCAGGGGACTCTCAAGAGCCTCCTCCAGCACCACAATTCAAAAGCATCAATTCTTTGGCGGTCAGCCTTCTTTATGGTCCAGCTCTTCTACTACTCAGATGCAATCCGGGTTATGTGAGGGATCGAATTTATTTATTTATTACTTATTTAAAATATTTCTATCCCGCCTTTCTCCCCAATAGGAACCAAGGGACCTGAGTATGCCCGGGTCTTGCGAATTCTTCATCTTTTTCTTCCCCAGGACCCTTGAGACGCGTTTCTTTCCCTTGGCTGCCAACTTTTCATCCCTGCTCAGAGGGCTCCGCTCTTGACCCAGCTTCCGCAGCGGAGGAGCGAACTTTGGGCCGCCACCTCCGCGTGCCAACTTGGGGCGCGGGGGGTGGGTGGGAAGCCGAAATCGCGTGAGAGGCGAACCCCCCCCCTCCCGTTTCAGAAGGCGCGCTCTCTCACCAAGCGCACACCGGCAGACGGGGCGCGCACGCGCGGCCGGGAGGGGAGCCCCGGCGCCAGAGAGCGAGCCAGCGAGGGCCGTCTAGGGAAGTCACCTGGCTCTCCAAGGCTCCTCCCTTTTCCTCAGCCCAGCCCGGCGGGAGCAAAGGAGAGGCGAGCGGCGGAGTCGCCTTCTGGCACGCGCGGGGTGCCCGGCCGAGGCTGCGCGCGCCGGC